GAACCTGTCATTCACTGGTGGTCAATTAAAAAATAAATATTTCATTACAAGAATCTTAATGACTACAATAAATAATAATTTTAAAAAAATTCTTTCATCAACTGGGGATGTTCAGATATTCATGATACCCATAATTAAAAAAGTAAAAAAAGAACCTTGAGCACATGGAAAAATAAAGTGATCATTGGATAGGAAAAAGATGAGCATAGATTGAGGGTTAACTGGAAGACAAATAGGGAAAAATACTATTGTAATAAATAGATCAGTCTCAATCTATCATTATGTCCCCCTGTACTTGAATGCAATTTTAAATTTTTAAATAAACTTTGCATGAGGAAAACATGATAACTGGTTGGCAAAGGCTGTGGTGAAGAAAATATGAAATATAGGAATAAAAAAATAAAAAAGGTTGACGTGAGAATGACGTTGAGCTATTACGCAACGTTCATTCGCTATGAATATGAACGAAAATAACAATTGTCGATGTTGGAGACAAAAGAAATAGTGACGACCATTGCACGTCTATATATTGTTTCTTTAAGTATACATGAAAGAGATAGTGCTTTTATCTGTCGCAGTATGTCACCATTTCACGTTTTCTTTACGTGAGCGTAATAGATAATTATTCAATATTTTTATATTTTACTCCATCATATTTCAGAAAACCGTTGCTACTTAAAAATCAATCTATGAATAAATTTTTTATTGTATTGATTGTGAAAATAAACTTGGCTTAATTGAGTTATGAATATAATTTGTCAGCTAAATTATGCACTAAACATCATTATCAAGTCTAGACTAGAAGTAGACTGGAAAAAGGGTAGAAGAAAAGGGAAGAAAGAAGCTGAATGACATTGGCGCCAATGCTGCGTAGTACTTGTGCAGGGAATAAATCTACTGAGGTGTAATAAAGCAAAAAACGAGAAGTAAGAATAATTAGAACCAATAAATAATGGAAGAGAGTAAAGAGAAGGAAAAATACCAGATTCATGGATGTGTCAATATCACCATCTGATGATGTTAAGTTAAGCCATTGTAACATGATGAAATGACGTGTGATATTACTCATCATCATCATCTGATAAAAAGGAATTACCATTAAAATATACTATTAAATTAAATCTACAGAATCTTATTATTTCTTTATTATCTTTTTTTCTATCAATGTGTATTTATAAATATTTTATCCAATACTCTTTTTTATCATCATCATTATTTCTACTATTGATTTTCATTGTCATTTTTTCTAGTATTGCTGCAGGTATTCTACAATTCTCTGTTATTTATATTTCAAAACGTATTTTTTCAGCATTATCTTTAGCTGATGATCTTGCAATAGCACTTGTTGAAGAGCTAGCGACAAGCTAATTCTCTAACCTGAGGTCTCTGTACTCAGTTCTATTCTTGAACACGTCAAAACACACAGCGGGTAGTCAATGATTTGCGCAGTCGCACGAAAACCCCCTGGGAACTTTTACTCTTTTTACCCTGCCCATCTATCCTCTACTCTCTTTTGCCCCTTTTCCAACGTAATAACAGATTGCTTCGTTATAGTATACAATAGATACCGTTGATTATTCATTGAAGACATGAATTACCTAATTTCAACTTGACAGGATCCTAAGGTTAAAGATTATTCCATAATTGATCGTTGATGTGATATTGATCAGAATCCAGCTTCCGAACTGTTAATAATTAATACATGAATTGACTTAACTGCTTCGTGCTCCTGATTTACTGTATTATCTGATAGTATTGCATTATTAATAAATCCTGCCATTATGGTCATTATTCATTATCATTGAGTACACTATAACGCTGGATAAATGACATGTAACATCAAGTTTATTATTTTATAAGTATGCAACTAATACTTATACATTTAATGCAATTTACAGAATCAATTTCTCTTATTACTTTCATTACTTTCTAGGATATTATCTTCGTGTTCATTTAATAACTCAATTGTTCTCAAATTGATTCTAAATGTTTATATATTTTAATTAAAACAGATCATTAAACAACCGTTTATATGGATAAATAATTACAATTAATAAGTATTATTCAAGTTGTAATTGTAAAGTAGAATTGCATGGTTAATTCATTAAATACTTGATACATCATTTTTGTAATTATCTTCATGAATTTCATTCACACAAATCTAATATTATTTTCAATGAGAGAATTTATTGAATAACCAATTAGTACATTTTCATGGAAAAGTGTTCTCTTAATTTTTAAAGCTCTTAATATAGAATGTCATTCTAAGGATAATTACTTGTCCTATTGTCTCTATATTGGAGACTAGTTAGATCTAGGGAGTAATTGATTGATGCAAGGGGAAACGTGGACTTTATAGTAAAAGGGGAGAATTTTTACATATAATTACAAAAATACTCAACAAGACCAGCACAAATATGAACACAATGTTATAGTGTCCAGTAAAGGCTATAGCTTTATTTATGTATGAAGAAGAATCTATTTGTAAGATAATTATTACTTTTCTATTTATTTATTATTCAACTGCTGTGTGTATGATTTAAAAAATACATTCAATTATGAAGCCTTCAATTTAAAGAAAAATCGAAAATTCTCAATCACATTTAGGCTTCAGTATTGTATTTGAACTTGTAGCTGCTGTGTTGATCATTTTGATTCTTGATATAACTTTTTCTGATATATCTATTATGAAAGTTATTCTTAAGATATCATAAAAAAGATGCATCTATCAGAAATAAGACAACTTATAGACCTATAGTATCAATCTCAATCAGGTAGAGTAGAGAAAAAATGAAGATATCAAATCAGATATTTAGCATAATTTACTCTTTTTCTTCAATTTCTTATTTACCAACATCAACTAAGATCTTAAATTCCAATAAATATTTATAACACAGTGGTTTTAGTAGTTTTTTTATTACTTGAAATATTTATATTATTCTTCTCTATGGTTCCTTGAATTTTTCGCCAAGATTAGCATAAATTCTTTGGCCTCTCTTTAAAAAATTTTACAGATCTACATTTTTATAGACTCTGGTAGAAGTGCAGGTGCATGCGGAATTCCCCTTTAGTTTAGTCCAATCTGCAGAGTGTTTTTATGACTTAGATTTTACAGTAACAAACCAAATACCATGACGTTTATGTATATATAGCATCCAGTGTTCTACAGTATATATCCTGAAGCTAGGAAGGGGTTGATGTATACCAAGGTGTGCGCGTGTTTCGTGTCATATAATATTCTACTCCTTCTTTGCCTACTCGCACACACCAGCTGTGAATGTCGATAAAAGGCCACTTATAGCCTTGAGGTTCTATCGCACCGTCTTTACTTCAGGACAGGTCAACATTGTCGAGGTATTACAATTGTTTCAACCAAAATGAGAACCTGCATGCTGAAGAATCTATACTTTACTTTATATTGAAACTTGACAAATTCCATAGCTGCTAAATGTCGTGATTTCCTAGACAATGTTACCTATTAAGTATAATATTCTTTCTTACAACATTTTTTTATCGATTTGTTTAATAAATTTTTCAACTTCTAAGAAACATTCATCATTCTACAGAATAAAAAGAAAAAAGACATGTAAATTTTAATTAGTTTTCGATACTTTAGAATAGTAGTATTTATTTATTGATTACTTGAAATTGTTTTGTTTTGGTTGTAAATAAAGGGCTAATTTTAAACAATTTCCGCTACTTAATGATGTTATTTACTTACCAGCGAGCATTTAATGTTTTATCAATAATAGCAGTTCTTCAAAAAATATTAAATTTGAAATAACTTGTAATTTCTTAATGAAGTTACAATTTGTGCAAAGTTTGACTGAAGAATGGCAATTGGAAGTAATTCACGAAATAATGAATCATTTGAAATAATTTATTGGGTCTATTTAACAGCGATAAAAATGTTCTTTTTTGTTTTTATTGTAAACATAAGTGATCTTAGATCTTTTCTCCCACGACAGTAAATATCGATAAAAGTAGCGACTGGTTGACTTGCTACCTGTTCTTTCAGCCTGAGTCGTAGTCACGAAAATACGAGGCAGGCGGCGGTATTAACTATAGCAGTAGGACTTCCTTGCGGCCTTTGTCGGACGCCATCCACCGTGCAACCTCGCGCTTTTTCATCGAGCAATTAGAAAGAGATTTATTCGCGCCGGCACGCCGCGCGTGGATTCCCTTTCCCTCACTACTCTCCATCTCGCTCAAACACTTGGAAATATATTTCGAATGTTACTTAAAGGATAGAGAGTGGAACAAACGTGGAGCAATGTTGCCGACTACAGTTTCTTCCTTTCCTTCAGCTTCTTCATCATCTTCTTCTTCTACTTCTCCTTCATCTTATTTATAGGAACATCTTTGGAGTTTTAATGAACTCGTTTTGACGCCGGTCCTTTCCGCGGGCCATCCACGTCCCCGACTTTTAGTTAATTAAAGTTACGACCACACTCTGACGCCAAGTAAAACCGACTACTCTCTTCTGATGCAGACAGACGAGAATTATGCAACCTGAGCATCAGAAAATATATACTACTGAGATATGTCCTAGTGAGGAATCTGATGAATTCCTTGGCGTTTTTGATGATAATGATGATGATGATGATGAGACCTCGCAGTACGTGCACATCTAGACTGTGTCGTATGTTATGTAACCACGCAAAAACACCAACGGAATACTATAATTCATGTATATACTTAAATACGTACATATATATATTTGTACATGGCAAAAGGAAAAAAAAATAAAAATACCGTAGGTGCAATTCGCGGCGTAACTTGCACATGCGCGAAGGATTCTTTTGACGAAGAATCACGTTCGTCGCGGCTACGTGACTGTCTTGAAACGACCATCGGTTACGAAACGAAACCTTCTAGATTTTTTTGAATTTTTTTTCTATAGTTATATTCTGAAGGATGTACAGCTCACGCGATGGATTTGGTTTACTCTGAAGTTTTTTTCGACATTATTGATAATGGAAGAATAATTTTGCTTGCAGGTGAAAATCTGGTTCCAGAATAGGAGGAGTAAATACAAGAAGATGATGAAGGCAGCACAGCAGGGTGGCGGTGGTGGTGGTCAACATGGTAGTCTCTTAGCTGGTGGTCCATCACCTCAACCTGGACAACCTGGAGGTCTCATGCAAGGCGGTGAGTTTAATTACACTTCAAATCCATCTATCACATGATGCTCTTCACAACTTTTTCCCAGTTCAATTATCGCTACAGTCTTATTTAAACCACTACCATTCTATCATTAATTATTTTATTTTATTTCTGATGAATTAAAAAACAAAACCGATAATTCTTCAGGTGGAGGAAGTTCAGTATCCGGAAGCCCCACGACGGGTTATCTTGGTGGAATAGGACCTGGTGGTGGTGAAAACACTCCTGGCAGTTCGACACCCGGAAGTGATATGTCACCTCAGCACAACGAGAGCCCTCCGGCGCCTGCTTGGACAGGCGAGATGAAGCATCATCCACATTCACACGCTCCACCCCACACTCACCATCATCCTCACACGCCTGGTCATCATCCTCCTCCGCCGCCTCCACCACCACATCACGCAGGATACATGCCGCAGTATTCATGGTACCAAGCAGATCCTAACCCGGGATTACTCACGTGAGTGTGGTAAATTTTCACAATAATATCATTCGTTTTCATGAACTTTTATTTACATACGTTATTCAATGAATCTTGTTGTACATCGACTACTTTTTATTCACTATTTATTATTCATAAAATTGATTTTTTGTTGTATAAAAACAAGGATGAGGCGTTTGAATATCACTTTTGCTTAGAAGTTCCGTTAGTTAGTCTATTACAAGGTATTATTACTGAATATATCAATTATTATAATTATTGACTAAGTGATTTGCAGGAATACGAAGCTTCCAAGTACGCAGAAGTTAATTATAGTAAAAAATGAAAGCTCATTTTCTTTCTTGATGTTCCATCATAAGAGATGATACATTGCAAAATTCAAAAGTTATTTCAAATGAAGAGATAGAAAAATTCTCTATGAAAAATCATGTTATTTAATATTATCATACATCTCTTGGTGGAGTATTTCCCATTCTATGCGTCATAACTCATCAAAATCTAAAAAGTACAATGTACAATAAGATTAATTGGATAAATCATCTTTTATTAACACGATAATAAAGTGGTTGAATAAATATTAATTTAAAAGCAAAATATAATAGTTTCTTCAAATGTTAACATTATTTCTAAATAAATAACTTACTGGTTTTAATGGTTTTTAAACTTTTTGTCTATTTTTTTTATTCTTTTTTTCATATACATAAAAACCACTAGACTATTATCTTATAGCCTTACTGGCAACAGATAGAAGCTCTAGACATTACAAAGTTTATCAATAAAGTTAATTCAAAATTTGTTTTCTGCAATTGTTACTATTGATTAACAAATTATATAATGTATAAGATAAATTTAAAAGTTCTCGTGCTGAATTCATTAATAAAATTAATACTTTTATCAATTCTAATAATAGCAAACATAAGACAACATTATTTATAATTTATTTGTTTTTTTTATTACAGAGTTTGGCCAGCAGTGTAACGAAGACATTGGAAATTATAATGTCTTGACGACTCTACATAAAAATGAATGGAGATCGTGAAAGTGTGTGCTGCTTACACGCAGGATTGAAAAAAAGAAACATCTCAAGGAGAAGGAGAGTTGAAAAATATTGAGGATCTTCATCAATTCAGTGCAACAGAAGGTGTCCTAGAAAATGCAAAAAAAAAAAAAAAAATAAACAATAAAAATTGAATTGTCGAATGTGTAAATGTTTATAGTGTTTAATTAAAAATAAAATTTGACAATATGTCACATTACCTCGGACTTGACGAATGTGAAAGCCTTGATTAAGTGTTTATTTGTCGGTAACGAACGCTAGAAGATTGTTAGAAAAATTAAAGTCATAAACATCAAGTTCCCTTATATTCTGATTCCCGCGTGACGTTGTTCCAAGTTGGTCAATTTGACCTACTTCTTTTTCTTCTTCCGCGAGTTCTTGCAACGGTACTCGAGGGGAAGAATCCAGCAGCAGCAACAGATGACTGCTTGTCCATTGCACAAGCGTATCTCGGGACAATAAAAGACAACCCGTAGACTTGCCTTACAGCGGTTTGAATTAATGAAATTGTAATGACATTTTCGTGAGTAAAACGAGGCAATTGTAGTGGCAATGCAGTTGGTGTCTTATTGCTGTCTTGACAGATGAAGTAAGAGACATGAGATCGTGGAAGAGACTGACAGGAGGTCGGGGAGAGAGAAAAAAATCATAACATATTTTCATCAAGCCAGTAGCTAAATTTTTAAATTAATATACAATTTAATATATTAATATGCAAATGATGATTTTTAATAAATAAATTATGTTTTATATTTGATTTGACTTAAATTGTTGTATTTTTAAGCTTTCTCTCTCCTCATTTCTCCAAGGAACTCACTATTCTGTAGGGAAAAAATTCGTTATTTGAGAGGTTCCTTCTAAATTGAGGTTCCAAAGAATTATAAAATTGTGCGTTGCGGTCAGTTTCTCACAAGTTGGCTTTTGTCGTTGTCTGTTCGTGTACTAAGACCGCAGGAAGAACGCGCGTGGCTGCGCCTTTACTCATTGCGGTAACAAGTCACGGAAAACATAGGGAAGATTGACAGCGATGAAGCTTTATACCAATTTGACCTATAAAATCATCCTACTATGAGAATGCGGTCTCAAAATTTTTTTTCTTCCTCCTGGTTTCTTTTGAGGTTGTCTTGAAAAACGTGAAAAATAAATATATGAATAAACAATTCAGATTCTCCGTGCACCTGATAATGTTCTTTTGATTGAAATGAATTTCTTAGAACAGATAATTCATCCGATGATTGTGTGCAATATAAATAAAATAAATTTCAAAATAATATTGGTTATAAATAATCAAGCATTATTGTAATTAAATTTCAAAACAAAATGTTAAAAAAATTGTTCACTTGAATGTAGGAATGGAACAATAAAATTTTTTTTTTCTGTAAAATGTTTGCGTATTTTAATTAAAGAATATGATACGAGTATATATGGCAATATACTCGATTTTATTGATTAACGCATGGAAAAGCATAGTGTGGAAAATAGCAGCATATGTTTGTGAGCCATAAGAACTGGTTAATGGGAGAATAGAAAAGGAAATAAGGGAGGAGGAAGAAAAAGAAGAAAAATGCAGTAAAGGTCTGACGAAACTGAAAATTATTTCTAGAGAAACGCAACATGCATAAGGATATATAAAAGGAGTTGAGTCGGTGTTATAGAGTTTACTAGCCAAAGAGGGCATACATTATAATAACGAGTACGTACTGTGCCGCTTATTTCTCGTCGCGCCCTTTTAGAAAGATGTTAACGCCCCTCTCACAAGTCCTTGCGAACTGCCGAAGGATCATCTCGATAAAAAATGTCAGACATTTGCGTGAGAGAACTAGAGAGAATGTAATAAAGACCCTGAGGATTACTACGTAGAATTTCCTAGAATTATTTGCGTCTTGGCGTGATACAGGAAGAATCGATATTCTACGATTTTCGACAGTCTTTCTGTTCTGTAAATAAAAAGCCGGGAGCCCCAATTTTAGAATTAAGTTATAAGTGGATCTGTGTAAAATATAAAGTTGTGATCTAAGATTGTAAAAAAGTCCGTACACATAAGAGTTGGATTGCATAGAATAAACTTTAACGAAACAGAATAAAATAATAAATAAATTACTGAATTATCTGTGTGACAAGAGTATGAAACATGAACAGAGAATTGTTGTAATGCTAACAAGATTGTAATGTACAAGTGAATGTACAAGATAAAAGAGTAAGATGTTGTCTATTATACGATATAAATTAGAGAAAGTCATTCATTCCTTTTCCTTCAAATCCTTTCATTCCTTCACATTGATTCTACCCCTGCCATCTCTTGTTCGTCCTCTCCACTCCTTATCCTTATGTCCTTCTATACGAATATAGATATTATAAAGAAAACTAAAATACCTTAACTATCATAACTATTGTATAAATATGAATAATAACTAATTAATTCAATTTAAATCAAGCTTTTATTTATCTTTATTTATCCTTTTCTTTTATTTGCAGGTTAAAATTATCAAAGTTTTAGAGTATTAATTAAGAATTCATATTACAAATTGAAAGGTGCAATCATTTAAACGTTTTAAAATATTTTTATGGAATCAATACAGGAAACCTTTAGTGCACGCGTACGTTGTGTTTCAATAACACATGAGGTTGCCAGTCGGGTTGAAATAATAAAATAGACTTATAGAATGAAGTATAACAGCGTACAGTGGGCTATGAACTTTTATATAATAGACACAATAGCTAAAGAAAAGGGCCCCGAGAACGTGTACTCTAAGGACCCTTTACATTCTACAAGAGAGTCTTGTAAATGCAGAAGCAGTAGACCTCCAAGGCGCCGGCGTATTCATCTTTGCCTTCAAACCCTCTAAGTCCCTAAAAGATTACGTCGAGTGGATGTTTATTTGGCTCTTCTTTCTATTCTCATTCAGTCACGCGAGATCACTCGTAAATCGGCTGAGATCGACGTTACTAAGCAAGAGCATTTGTGAATATAATATATACATATAGCCTCTTTTTCTGTTTTTTTTTTAAGACTTTCTTTGATGAAGTAATAATAATATAAACCTATTTTACAGTATGTTTTAATATAAAAAATTACACACTCCTTTTATAACTGATTTTACAACAATGAAAAAAAACCTCTTTTTATTTTTAAATTGATCTTTAATTTACTAACAATGTAGTAGTTGGTTTCAACTTTTTTGTAGGTGGAGAATAATTTTTTTTCATTAAATTACAATTATTATGAGAGAAAGAATAATTGTATCCTTGAACTAGAATCACACTCTTACGTTATAATTTTACAAAAAAATTCAGTAACTGAGTAAAAATAATCATTACAAAAACAGAGTTTGATATAAAAAGAATTAATTTACATTATTAAACAATTGTGTATTCAATAAATAATAAAGGAATAGTAAAAAATAGAATAAATTAATTTAAAAGATTCTCACACGTGTAGAGAGGTCAGTTAAATATTTCGTTGATTCTTTAAATGTCTGACCTAGATTAAGCTCATTACTGTTGGCTGTCTAAAACTACTTCCGTTTCTGCCCATCTCACGATTGATGTCCTGTACCGGATGAAGAAATTCTCTGTCTTCCTTTCAGTTCATCTTCATTACTCTTAGCTTTCAGATCGAACTTTCCACCTCAGAGTGAATGTGAGACTTTCCTTCGAGGTTACGAGGTCATTGAGGGACGACTAAGTGAGACTATGAGTCAAATAAACATTCAAATGAAGTAGAATTAAAAAGAGAAAGGGAGAGAAGAGTCTTTGAGAGAGGAAATGAATGATATAAATGTCGTGATGGTATAAGACTACCCAAATGGTTTTTAGTGTATTATTGTCTTCAAGGCATTAATTGACTCATAAATCTGAGTTGATACTTTTGTTGTTGTTGTAAATTGTATTATGATTGTTTATGAGAGCTTTGACCTTTTTTATTATTAATACATTCTATCTTATTTCTGCTGACTCACATACTTAGATTATGCTACGATATAACTGTGTTTTAAGTCTACATACTTATTTCAATATTCATTTAAGCCTGAAATGAGTAAATATAGTTGCTTATAGTCTTTATTGATATTAAAAATTTATTTCTACACTCGATTTTATAATTATTTTGTTTGAGTGTTTTGAATTTTTTATTAAAAACTATCATCACTTAGAAATTATTTATAAATATTTTTAATTAATAATTAACATCACTGTTTTAATTTATTTTTTCACTAAAAAAAAAGAACAACTTCCTTTTATTTATCATTCAATTAGTATAAATTATAGTAATTGGTTTTGTATCGATTCAAATCAACTTAAAAACCAAGAAAGTATAAATAATAGCTAGATCTTATTTTTATCAATAAAATCACCCATATAAAAAACCAGACTGTGAAAAAAAGATCGAGATTAAAAAAAACTTTTTTTTAACTGAATAGTATAGAGAAGCTTCCAGGTCATTAAAATTAATACTGCGAACTGGTTTTTTTTTATTTTTTCTTCTATACTTTAAAGTATTCTTTTTTTGATCATATCCTATCGGATGATTTGTGCGCAGAATTGAGGACGAAAAAAGAAGGAACAGAGGAATGAAAATAAATTGAAAAAAAGGAAAAAAAGAACATGAGATGCTGAGTACTAGAGGGTTGACATGGTGGAGGGTGGTTCTAGGGATGCAGACCAGGAACAGCGGTCAGGTCGAGCGCTAATTTGCGATTCCATGCAGCAAGAAGGGCGTGGCAGAGTCGCGCATGGGGTGGCTCGCTCGTTTGCGCGACATTGTCGACAACCCTAACTCTATTCGTACTTTACTACCAAAGGGCACGTACACGCATTTTCTCCTGTTAATAGGGACATCGTCAAGGGATTCTACTAAGGAAAATCCCAATAGATGATGTGAAAGTTCTCAAGTTTTGTAAGCTGATGCGTGAGTCGGTAAATTACGATGAACAAAATGATTATTAGAGATAACTTTAATCAATAGTCTTTGAATTTTATTCGAATAATTTAATGTCTGGTGATGTTTTTCAATTATATTCCATCAGATCATTTCACAATATTTCTATTTATTTCAATGAAGATTCAATAGCTTCACTTGGACATTCGAGTAGTTGGTAGAATAATAGAAAACAGTAGAAATAAATATAACAACCAGAAGGATAGAAAAAAAATGTCATGATTTTTTCGTCACAATCTGGATCTCCAGGTGGTGGACCAGAGTGAGCTCAGAATCATACAAAGGTAGGAGGAACGGATGTAAGAACTCCGCCCAAGAGATCGTATACCATGTAAGGGTTGTGATCACGTGATATAACATCCAGAAACATGGGCAAATATTCAACATTGAAAATAGCTTTATTTTGTCTTTTAGACCTGACCAAATTATACCATGATATTACATTTAAGCATGTACTAACGATTTATTACATCACATCAAACTCATCATTACCTGTTAAGTCAATAGGTAGTGACAGGAAAATTTTCCCACAAAGTTTATCTGATGATAAATACACTCTCTGAATTTTTCATATCAGTAGAAGATCTAGAATACATAAACTTTAAATGAACGATTATCTTGTGGGAGAAAAATTTTCCAAGTCTGTTGTTCTTCTACCTGTCTGCAAAATCTTGCAAAATAAAAGAATTTCAAGTCATGAAGGGTTCTTCCCAGGGTGCCACCATGACCAAACAGTGGCAAAGTGTAGAAATGTAGCCATCAACAAGACCGGGGGAATTTAAAAGCCGGACTGTAGACGCACGTCATTCGACCCCATGACCCACTCAAGGAGACTCTTCTTATTCTTTTCACTGCAAAAGAACTACTTGACACTAATCCGGCATCCACCTTTTGCTTCCGCCACGTTGAGATTTTATCTCATCTCTTAAATAAAGGCAACAGACAAGTTTGAGAATGTCATGAGTTCATTTGGGAGTCGGGAAATAATTTGTCATTTACTTTTTTCAGGTAGTTAGTCAGGTGTAAAAAATTCAAGTAGATATTGTCGTTTTACACGAAAGCTAATTTTGTACTAAATTTCATGTAATATTTACCCCTAACTTTAAAGACACAACGGTGTATATGACTATAGAATGGTTTCGCTAGTTTACCTATAAGTATGAGGAAGCCTAAGTTTGTGACAAAATATATCCTCGTTTAACGTTTAAAAAAAACCCAGAACTAAATGTGAGTCTTAAAAAGTTTGAAGTCAGTTTGTTTGTGTCAAATAAAAAATTAATTATTTATACAATTTTTAATAAAGTAACGGACATTTTATCAATACCAAAACATGATTTTCATCGTTCCCCTTATTTTGTAGGTAGTAAAGAATTTTTTTCTATTTTTTTAGTCCCTTCAATTGAATTTTTTCTTTTTTTATTCATTCACTCGTCGTTGACGTTGTGACACGCGTGTGCAAGCCTATTGTCGTGCATTTCCGGTAACCGGATATCGCGAGACGCATTGACATTAATTTATAAAATATTCGCGACTCCACGCCTTCTTCTTTTACGACCAGCTACCCTGTCACACACGCCTTCTTTTTTAAGATATGGACTTGGTCATATCAACTAATGTCTTGTAATCTTCATCCAATTTTATTTATCTATCTAAAATTACAAAAATACTATGTTGAACTAATTGCACGATCATCATACATATTATTAAATAATCTCAAACAATATCTGTATATAATAAACATAAAATGTTCCAAATTGGTGTATTAGACAGATAAAAACTAAAGAAAATATACAAAATGAAGCAGTTTTCTATTATAACGATTCAAATAATGAGGATAACTTATCATTAATGAGATGTAAGTATTTTAAATATGGACTAAGTATTCAATCATCATTTTTATTTTTAATTTGAAAATAAATATAATTGCTGTCATTAGAGATTCTGAGAACTAAATTATTGTCAAATGTCAATTAATGATCATAATAAAGATATCACCAACTATATGAGTATTTTTTAAAAAATAAAATGAGTAAATTGATCAGATCGATTTAATTTTAAATGTATACGATTTTTTGAGGTGTATTATAAAACTACACGTTACAAATTTCGATATGGATCAAAAAACGTTGAATAAGAGGAACTGAGTTAATGTTATAGCTCCCTAGTTGAATTTTCAGAATAAGTTAGTGACTCTAAAACGTAAAGAAATACCAAAGAAAGGGGTTCTCACCCCTCGTTACATACACCACTTACATCTGGTGTGTCCATACGCACTTCGATAACGAAAACTTTTTACCTTTGACACGTCAAAGATCACCGTTCCAATCTGCCGCTGCTTCTAATTTCAGGTTTGAAACTGCCACGCGTCTGTGCACCTTTGCGATGTTTTATAAAACCCTTTTGTTATGCAATAGATTTATTTTTTGTATTTTTTACACCACTTAAAATGACTATTGACGACCGCCGAAGTTTTGAAAGCTTTTAAGTTAATTTC